ACTGCTGCTAAATGTTCCATGGTTTTAAGTGAATTATCTGATAAATGATACCAATAAAAACAAAATTTATGGGTGTTGACCAAAACCTATGACATTAATCGACTGAGTACATAAAAGTTGGAAGTAAAAGATAATACAAATGTCGAAAGGTTAAAATGTTGAAAATGAAAGTCTATGAAAGCAGAAGTCTCGATCACTCTCATTCTCATCTTCACCCCTCATTTTTGTTTTCCACATTTTTGAGTTTCGACCATAGTTAGGATTACCGGACCAGTAGCAAAAAACTGAAATCATGGGGACCACGACAAAACAAAATTGGTCTCGCACATCTCTACTCGATATTTATCAAGTCCTTTAACCCTTTGAGGCTGAAATTTTTTCTACTGAGCCGAATTTGCTGAAATTTTCAGGATATGTTGGGGCTATAGTGGAGAGGCTACGATAAAATTTTCAGCCCTACACCATGACGTTTGAGCGAGATATTCATCAAGCAAGGGTCAAAAATAGCTGACTTTGCGTCCAATATTTCTCGGTTCAGGCTCGTGGTATACGTTTTATTTTTTTTTGTTCTTCAAGAGCATGTCAGAATGCAGAGTACCACAGAGTTCTTTTTTTAAATTCTTACTTTTTTAGCGAAGAAAGGGGATCACAAGTTCAATGACTCAAAAGTCGGTGTCTAGTTACATAAGTGTCTGTATATATAATAAAAATAAAGCTTAATTAAAAAAAAGAGACTCTGTAGTGCCCTGCATCTTTACATGCTCTTTCAAACAAAAAAAAATTTAAATATATTGAATGAGCCTGGACAGAGAATTCTTGGCCACAAGATAAAAAAATCATAAATTGAGAAAAAACGAAAAAGATTTTTTATTTTAAAAAAAAAAAGCCTGTTTTTCAATCAGCTGATTACAGAAATCATCAAAATTTTTAGCCAAAAAGGAGATTTTGGATAAAGAACCATATCATTTCTGAAAGATCCGAAGACGGGTTATCTTCCTACGTATTAATCTCAGTTTTGAAATTTCTGACGAAAATTGACTTTTTTTGAGGGGGGGAGGGGCTAAAAACATGGCACGATGTAATTTTTAATGCTTTCCATACACTCTATCATCCATGTAGTTTTGTACGGATCTCTGCTAGCTTCCAACATTTATTGAAAATATTTCTCCAAGATTCTCAAAAACTCGATAATTAAAAAATTCTGAAGGTGGTACATATATGTACCACCGGGCTCAAAGGGTTAAGTAAAACCCTTCGATGATTGTTACACTAAAATGAAGATTCTATATTGAAAAGTAAAAAGAATAAGTTTTCTGGCATAAGCGTCGATGAGACTCTGTTCAGGAGGCTATGAACTGAAGTACTTTTAGAGTTTTCTTATTTTCATGGATACCTACTCATAGTTGGAATACTAAGTCAAATAATGTTTGACAATTGGAGATATTTCTTCGTAAGCCAAAATAAAGTCTCTAGTCTATTTTATTTCTCTTTTTTTAATGTTTATTAAAAGAATAAACTATAACAATAGAAGAATAAAATCATAAAAATAATTGAGATATACTAAATAAAAGGTTTTATTTTTAAAATATGCTTTGTTAATAAAATCTAGATCAACAAATGTTCCTCATCATCGATTTAATCGTTTTCAACAAATTCAATATTATTTAAAAGTAATTGTTTTTTTATTACCAAAAACTCACGATGAACTTGAACGAGATAATATTATATCTCGAATTATTAATCAAATGCTTAATGATGATTTGTTTTATTTATTTTAAAATAAAATAAAAAACGTTTTGTTTTTTCTTTTTCTTTAGAAACAACAGTAACATTAGAAATTCGTTTAACATGTTCATTAGTTTGGCATCTTTTCAAAAATAATGAACAATTATCAGCAGATGATAAAGTACAATTATTTATATTAAATTTTTCGTGTGTTTTTCTTTTTCTCAGCTTTATCAAATGAAAAAAGTAACTTGTGTGAGAATGTGTCGATTAGCTTTATATTTTGGTTTAATTAAAACAACAATGCATAATCAATCACTTCATACAAATTTTTTTGTTCAATTATTAGAAGAAATTCTTGCTTTTAAAACCTTTGTTTTTTCTTTTTTGTTTTATTTAAATATTAATTTTACGAAGAAAATTATTTTTCTAGACGTGATGCAGCAATTATGGTTGGAATATCAAAAGCATTAGAAACTTATTCTGAAGCTTTAAAGTAAATAAATTTGTAACTATAAAAGATAGATTATTTTATAGATTTTATTTTTTTATAGTTCATCATGGCGTAATCTTAATACAACATCATTAGAAAATATTGTTAAACAATTATTAACTTTTGTTTGGGATCATTTTAGTTATAATGTTGAAGTAATTCAATTTAAATTTTTTTTTAGAAAAAAATACAAGTTTATTTAGTTGTTTCTTTTTTAGACTGTTCAACATTGTTCAGTAAATATTTATTCAAACATTTTAAAAATAACTATGAATCATAGTATGTTTACATATATTAAAAGATATTTTCTCTAATTCTAATTCAAACAACTGACGTACATTCTAAAATTACAAATGAAAAATTAAGATTGAATTTAAGTCACATACAATTGATGACAGCTGTTTGGAGATTTATGAAATATGCAGAAAATCTGTGAAAATGAAAATAGTTCTTTAAAAAAGACGTTTAAATCTAATAGAAAGAACTTTCCTGTTCGAGATAAAAAAAAGTCACACCTATCTGAAAGATGTTTTATAGTATCACATTCTTTTTTTGTTTGTGCGGAGCACAAAACAGACAAACTAATGGATCATGTAGATCTCGATCTGGTCTGAAACTTTTGTTCTACGTTAGTATTTTCAGATGTGCGTCTCGTCACTTTGCTTCTGAACAAAGTTTGGACCACCTTTTTGAAGCAAAAGTTATAGAGTAGATCAAGATCCATAGGATACACTAGTTCATTTGTTCTGTAGCCGTAAGAAAAAAAAAGAAGCTAGTACTATAAAAAAAAAACAGTTTCGTGAAAGTAGGTGTGATATTCTTACTTGAAAGACTTGTTATGTTTTATTTTGAAGAGATTAACATTTCAGTTTTTATTTTTAACTTTTTCTTTCTGAAATCAAATTTGGAAAATGAGGAAATCTGAATCCTCTTATAGAAGTTATATCATTCAATATAAAACACTCGAATTTTTGAATAAAAAATATATTGATAAATCGATTGACCCATTGATACGGTTGTATAATTTAGGTGATCTTCGTCAATCAATAATTGATTCTCAATTAACATTATTACAAAGATTACCATGACAAAAAGATGTCATAAAAGATCCTTTCATTTATAGGCGTGTTACATGAAAACCTAACTCGATAAAGATGCATCTGATTTTAACGGTATCTGGTACTTAAGGTTTTCAGATCACGCTCTTTCTTTTATCTAGCGGACACTTTTCTTCAAAATGGTCGCAAATAGGTTTTCTAGAAAACCACGGTTTGTAGACTCTCTTCATAGAGAGAAAACTTTTTTTTGAAACACCGAGAAATTATGGAACATTTCTAATTACATGGCTGTATTCATAAAAGAACAGACTACATTTTGAAAAAAAAATTGAGTCTCCAACTCGATATTTAAATTTTTAAATGTGAACTATTTTTAAACCTCAAATAACTCAACACTGGAAAGTGATGGAGTACTCGTTTAAACGTCATTCGGTAGAGAATTGAAAACTAAACAAACGTAGATAGTTGACAAATTCCAAATATAAATTTTGTAATCCAAGATTTTTCCAAAACCTTTTTTCCGGCCATTTGAACGACGTTTAAAACCTCTGTAAAACCTCAAGATTTCAACAAAATCCCTAGAATCTGATGTCATTCGATCGACAATGTCGAGGCCCATACATGGAAAAACTTCTGTCTGCGCCAGATAATATTAGGCCGAGAAATCTTGGTTTTATTTCTAACGAAGGTTTTCTCATTGCACAATGGTAATAAAAAAAAAAATTTTCCAAATTTTCATAGAAACACTTTTGTTACATAAATAATGATGCTACCAAGGCCTAGCTGCAAAAACTCTTTCATAGTTAAATCCTTCGCAAAATCCGTGGTTTACCTTCGGTCGGAACCTCCAAGACCTTTTCAAATATCAATAACAAAAAAACTGTTCAATTGATATTTCTTGTATTTTATTCAAATCCAAACTGAACATAAAGCATGATGGTATATATTTTGTATTGCCTTAATAATAATAATGTTCACGAATGTATTCTAACAACGGGAGGATGAAGGTGTGGATCATCATTCTTACCCACACCTTCTTTTCTGATTAGAAATCAATAAAAAAAATGTTTATTAGAATTTCGTCGTAGACATCATGATTCATGGCGTGAACAATCCAGCGAAATTCGACTCAGCATTTTAGCTGATATTTTTCTTCAACATAATTATTATATCTGAAACATAGGGTGAGGGTGTGGGTGTGGATTAATATTCTCTTATCTTGCACCCACACCCATAATTATTTATACATTCGAGTATGAAAAACTTAACTTTCTTACTCCCCAAACCTTTCCAGAAAAGGAGGGGAGTGAATTATTTCATACTAAAATGTATATAAAATTTTACTCCCTTACTTTTTTTCTGTGGAAATTTCTTCTTTTCTTTCTTGATACCATTAGCACTGAAATCTCGTATTAACTCTCTAACTCTGCCTTATCACCGAATTCTCAATAACTAGATGAGTCGTAAACGTAAAAGATATATGAAGCAAACAGGTAAGAGCTATACAGAATCCTCAGATATAATCAACCGATCATCGGAATCAAATTATATTAGCAGCAAAAACGCATATTTCTGTATATTCACTGTCAGCAATTGGCAATTTGTTAAATACTTCTTATAAATGTATCTAAGATTTTCTTTGAGAAATCTGCTACCAATATAGTTTGTTCAAGGAAAGAGGATGTTTCCTAGTACCTCATTTTATTAATCAAGAAAAATATTCTTTATAGCCAGATACGTAATTCAGAATACTTAGTCCAACGAATACTCGTACGATTTCGGTCGTGGAATTTATGAACATTTCTTAATAAGTTTTCAATATAACTTTGTTGAGTATATAATAAATTATGACCATGAATGCCTAAATCTCGATAACAAGAGTCTTTGTTAATGATAATTTCAGTGAGTTTTTCAAAATGAGTAACAATTAATATAACTAATTTGGCGAAGTTTTCGTCAAGAGGTATATTATATCCACTTGACCAGAATATAGTAAGTTGTGGGAATAATTTCGATAATAGAGAATTGTCGACCAATTGTGATAAATTTATTGGTTCTAAAAGAAAGAAAATGAAATTGATTGTTTTTATTCGGATAATATCATCATGTGAGATACTCTCTTATTCCTTTCATAAATAAGAAAGTAAGTTTGAATTTAACGATGAAATCTGTTATTTTACTCTTCGCAAGATCAAGATTTGAAACATAAAACAGCTACTACGATGACTACTAACAATCCAAATCAATCATATCTATAATAGTCCTCATTTTTACAATTGAAATTCATATAAAATATTTTAGATATGTTCATGTTTTTGAAGTGATGACAACTATGAATTACCATCTCTTCTGAAATGTCGTAAATGTAAATGACGTAAGTTAAGAAGAGGTGGGACAGAAGAATATTCACTAACACAATTTGAATCCATATTCATGATATAATGCCAGTTGGTAGTTAATTTAACAAGTTGCCTTGTTGCTGAAAGAAGTACACGAAGACATAATTGTTTTTGCGATTTGACGAGAAAGTTATTTGAACTTTCACTTGTGAAAAATACGAGTGAATGGAGTTGATCTAATTCAAGTCTATTGGATGGTAATGAAAAGATAACAAGTTTAGCAGCAATCTAAAAATAAAAGAATATTCAAGCATCACTATGAATTTTGCTTAACGAGGAGCTTTTCACATACGACAAGATGCACTACAATCCTCTTACCACTCAAGTACAGGCGATATTTCAAATAGCTAACAGAGACATAGTGATTTCTTTTATTTATTTCTGCAAAATTGAACTTCTTTTTTCTCCTCATACAATGTTTGAGTTGCAAATGAAACTCAAATGCTGTGGTTAATAATATGAGAGAATGATCGATTCAGATGAGCATATCAAGAACATAGAATCATTTTTCTCAATTGTTTGAATAATAAGGCTTTCACATACATTTTGCAACTTCGTTCCGGCCCATGTTCCAAATTGAAGTTTCTTTATCGCCCCAAACTTTGACAAAACTTCAAAAATTTGTTTCGAATTATCAAGGTAATTGCAAGTCCAATTAATTGATGATGTTGATGGCGCTTGTTTGAGGTTCATTGCAATAGAGTAATTGTGTATATTTCGATGAAAAGGCAGAGATGAACGAGTAAAAATAAGAAGAGAATATTTCTTGGGTATTGATAGTGTTGGTGAACAATAGTATGTCATAGCACATAAACATTCCTCTTCAAGACAATGATCAATGGTGACAACATCAAGCGGCCATTGCGAATAATGATATTTATTCCATTCTTTTTCAAGTTCACCAGGAAAACGAAGTAGAAATCGAAAAGATGATGGACGAAGAGCAGGAAGATTTTTCTTTGACTCAAAATATTTTTGAAAATCGTTCAGACGATTAAGTGCTAAATTTTTAAAAAAACAATTTACAAATTTTAGTTAGAAATCGAATCTAAATATTTGTTTATTAAACTTACAATTATCATGAATATCAATCAATGTTAGTTGTTCGAGTAGAGGTAAATGAACCAATGAAAAGAGGATGAGAAGGTCGTTCATTGACATGTAACTAAGTTTGAGAGAGCGTAAACGACTTGTTATATTGTTAACATTTATCATTTTTACATCATTTTTGAGACGACGTTTAATAAAACTAACACTCAGATGATCAAGAACGGGTAATGATTGAACATCAAGAAGATTGAATAGATCATCTAATCGCTTGATATAGAGTGATAAATAAACAGTATTTGGTAAATACATTCGTTTCCATTCATATTCTTTTGCATCATAATATTCTTCAACATTGTCTAAAAAGAATTTAAACATCGGAATATTTATTCAGATCAACGACATTATGATGTTCACGCTCTTTCATTTCCCCTATATCAGTCTTTGATGCTCCCTGTTATTTAGACCATTTAGTGAAGTGTGTTATCAATCTGAGGAAGAACGAATCTTCCTCTTAAGTTAAAAAGATGCAAATAGTTGTTACAAAATTTACTCAAAACCTTACCACTTTCAACGTCAAATACCATACGATAAAATGATAATTCATGATCAGTAAAATCATTCACCACTTCATAATACGATGAACTATCCATTGGTGGATCAAATATGAAATAAACATCGCGAAGTGTTGTCAACAATGGAATAAACAATTGTGATATTTTGATTTGGTCAGCAGCTTTTCCTGATATATACAATCGGCGAAGTGAAGGAAATAGATGTGACAAAGTTTGATCTGAGTTGAATTGTTCTGGAGATTGATAGTGGTTACAAAGTGCATCGCTAACAAGTGTCCCACAAAGACGAATTGTATCGATTGAAGAAAGAAGAAATCGTGACCAAACATCTTTTCCTTCAATTAATTGAAATAGATCAGAAAAATATATTCTATCACCAGCACATTGCGATGTATCGAGAACTGGACGTTGAGTCATAGAAGAAAGTAAATCATTAATACGATGATTTAGACCAGCCAATGCTCTGTAAAGATCAATTGGTGAAAGAAAACTCATAAATAATAACCAAACTTCGTTCGGTAAACATTCAATAGATTTCATTATTGTCATCATTGTATCTCGAAAAGTACTATTGGAAAAGACGTTTATTCTATCTCTTCAATTGTGAATCAATTATTCTTATACATATATATCATCTATCTTTTTCAGAAACAACAGTCAAAAGAAGAATATATAATCGTCTGTTTTTTTGGACGGAATTATTTTTGTTCACATTTTTCTTCGTTTCTTTCCTTAGTTACAACGTTGGCGGACGACAAAATATTTTTTTGACCGAATGACGCTTTTATTAACATTTTTCTTGTTATATGAAGTTGCATCATAATGTATTTGATGTTTCTCAACTTGCTTATTATCTAGTCGGATATGTCATTATGGATAGTCCGATATTTTAGAAATCTTGAATGTTTTACTTCACACGTAACTTTAAGGGGGGGGGGAGGTTACCCTCTACAAACATGCCCTCAAATTTTGCCAGTTTGCAGAGAATACCTTCAATGGTATGCCTGTGCAATAAGAAACTCATTGGTCAAATATTGACCGAGTTATTAATTAATTAAGACCAAAAATTATTGAAATTTTGGGGTCACGAAGCATTTTTTAAAAACTTTCTAGCTTTTTATATAAAGGTTATTTTTAGTTGATTCTTGCATAGTTTTGTAGCAAATTATTTGTAGATATAATTCCATGCAAAAAAGTTTAAAAATGATCTCTCTGAGTGCATTTTAATTACTAATTAGGCCTAATTAGTGTCACTATTTGAAATTCCACCGCGGAAAGTAAATTTTCCTGAAGTCAGAACACAATGAAACAAATCTTGCAATACATCATTCGATAGAACTTTTCGAGCTCTATCGATTGACTGTCTCAGTTTTTTTGCGAACTTCCATTTTGACAAAACAAATTCGATTTCAGTGGCAAGATGCTCGAAAATCTAAAAAATCAGCTCGTATTTGACGATTTTCACCATTATATTTTTACTTATGACCAAAATAGATATGATATTCGGAATCAGCATCAAAAACTACGTCGGATAACATATGTTTTAAGAAAAAAACAAATTTTGTCAAAAATAAAGCTGTACCCCCCTTCAGATGTTTTTTAGATAATTTCGTCAGTGGCCCCTCCAGCATGCGATTTTGGCAAAATTTG